CAGTACTGACTCGATGGCACCTAACAACAACAACGTGAGTCAGAACAGACTTGGTGGCACTTAACAACAGCAACATCATCCTTATTATTATTACTGTTACTCTCCCTGGTGGAACCCTGGTGGCACAATGGTTAAAGGGCCTGGCTGCCAACCAAAAGGCTGGCGGTTCCAATCTACCAGCTGCTCTATGGGAGAAGGATGTGGTTGTCTGCCTCCGTTAAGATTGACCCTATGGGGCGGGCAGTTCTGTTCTGTTCTACAGGGGCTCTATGAGTGAGAATTGATTTAATGATGACAATGGCTTTGGGGGTTTTGTGGGTTTTTTGTTTCAATATTCTCCTTTAGAACCTTTCTCACCTTACATAAGGAAGATGCTACATCATTACCTCATTCTCTGCCATTTTGTTTTCTTTTCGATCATCAGCTCCTTCTTGGTCTCTGTCCGGTCTCTTGGTTTTATTTTTCTCACTCTGTTTGGCCTTGGCGCTCTCGGGGGCCCTGATGACCTTCATCTCCAGTCCATCTTCCTTGTTTGAGTCCTCGGGCTGAGAGTATCTGCTCTCCCGAAGCCTGGCCTCCTCCTTCCTCCTGGACCTCCCAAGAGCATCCTGCTGCTGCTTTAGGTACTTATCCAACTTGGCTTTGGGCTCCTTCCGGTAGTAACCGTCTTCCCGGTTTTTGTAGCTGGACACAGAGTGGAGCAGACTGGGAGACCCAGACCTCAGGTACTTTTCTCTGTGGCCCCTCCCTCCTTCAAGCCGCTCTTCTAACTCGGCTTTGTCCAGTTGCCTGGGGTAGTGTTTGCGATCATGTACCCACATGTCTGTCCTGTCTTCTCCGTTCTCCCTCCAGGGAGCCGGATCTCGCTCTTCCTCCCTCCTGGTATAGGGAGAGTGATCCCATGAGTCTCTGCCATTGCCCCAGTCTGTCCGGGAGGGGCCTGGAGGGCTGTGGGAAGAGCTGCAGGAAGTGAAACTCGGAGTATGGGACCTCGGGGAGAGCGAGCGGCTCACCGGACTGCGTGACCGTGGTCTTTCCGGGCCATATCTGTGAGGAGCAAAGGAGCCAGATTTAGAATGTGTTCACACACTCACACTGGATAGACTGCACAGAAGTCTCCAATCACACGCCCATCATAGGACCACAGAGAGGGCTACGGTGAAAACCTTTGCCTCTCCTAAGTGGTACAAACAGTTAACATGCTTGACTGTTAGCTGAAAGGTTAGAGGTTCAAGTCTACCCAGCCGTGCCTCAGAAGACTTTTCAGGCAATCTACTTTTGAAAAAACAGCCACTGAAAACCTTATGAATCACAGTTCTACTCTGACACACACAGTCTCCACGAGTCGTAACTGACTTGAAGGCAGTGGTTTGGTTTGGGTTGGTTTCTGTGAGGTGGGATTTCCCTAAATACAGTCCTACCTACTCCCTGCTACTTTATTCCTTCCACTCATGGGATTGGGAGGGATAACTGGATTGGTTTGCCTGTGTCATCTTTCTTCCTCTGGGACATGAGGCTACACTCAGGGAGCAGGCCTCTCTTCGCTGGGGATGTAAGGTAGAGCAACGGGTAGCCTAATAAAGGGTGGTTGTTGTTGTGAAGTGCCGTCAAGTTGGTTCTGACTCATAGTGACCCTGTATAGCGTTTCCAAGGAGCAGATGGTGAGTTTGAACCACCGACCTTGTGGTTGAAACCAACCTTGTGGTTGAAATTGACCTTGCGGTCTAGTGCTTTATCCCACAGTGCCACATAGTAAGGCTGCCTAACCCTGAAATTCAATTAGCTGTCTTCTTGGTTTCAAGACTTGAGGATACTCCACTTGAGGTGGTCTCACTCAGAATCAGGGTGACCTATTGGCCATAAAGCTTCCAACTTGTCAGATCCTGAGTATGGAAGAGGGATGCTGTTTATTGGGGTAGGGGTGGAGGGTTGAGAGGGAAATGGGAGGAGCAAATGCAGAGATTCTAATCACAAAGCATTAGAAAGGTTGTTGTCAGGTGCCATCGAGTCGGAACCAACTCATAGTGACCCCATCACAGCAGAACGAAACAATGTCCGATCCTGGGCCAACCTCACTACCGCTGCCACACTTGATGCCATCAATGATGCCACCTGGCTGATCCATTTTGTTGGGGTTCTTCCTCTTTTTCTCTGACCCTCCACCTTACCCAGCATGACATCCTTCTCCAGCGACTGTTCTCTCCGGACAATGTGTCCAAAGTAGGAGAGACGAAGGTTAGCCATCTTGGCCTCCAAGGAGCACTCTGGTTGCACTTCTTCCAAAACAGATCTATTGATTCTTTTGGCAGTCCACGGCACTTTCAGTATTCTCCTCCAACACCACAACTCAAAGGCATCAATTCTTCTATGATCTTCCTTATTCATTGTCCAGCTTTCGTATCCATATGAGGTTATTGAAAATACCATGGCTTGGGTCAGACGCACCTTAGTCCTCAAGCTGACATCTCTGCTCTTCAGTACTTTAAAAAGTTCCAGGGTTAAGGAGACCTTAGAGGTCTGACCTACTGGTGTCTCAGGTGAAAAAACTGAAACCCAGAGAAAGCCTCTCACCTACCTAGTTTCGCGTGGACACAAGCTTTAGTTGGAAGAAGTGGGTTAGAACACTGACTGCAGTCAATGTTCAGAGTATACGACCAGTCAAGTAACTGGTTGTTTTGGACCATCTACATAGCTGTTTCTACATCTACATGAAAAGACTTCCTAGTCCCAGCTCCACTCTGCCACAGAGCTGCAGTAGTACAGTTTGGCTTTATGCATGTTTTCGAAAACCCCAAACAAACAAATGAAAATCGCAGCTTCAATGGTTGCATACAAAGACATTTACAGGCCCACACTGTGGAGGCTGTTTGGTCATTAAGCATGTCAAAGGAGTCATATGCCTGATATTCTAGAAGGATAGGTCTTTTCATTAGGTTCCCAAATTGAGGAAACCACGCAGACCTCACAGACCTGTAGCCACTGGGATGTGACCTGGGGCCATCTTGGGCTTGTGTCTTCTACAATGAGGTTACAGCACCACCTGTGGCAGCCCTGGGAAAGAAGCAGTGATGTGGCAGCCAGGTGGCTGTGCCAGCTGTTTTCCACCTTCAGTCTCCACAGGGACCATCCTTACAGGGGAATGCTGTGGTAAGCATGTAGCACTAGCTTGGCACAGAAGAAACGGGTTAGAACACTGAATGCATTCAATGTTCGGAGTAAATGACCGGCCAAGTGACTGGTTGTTTTGGACCATTTACATTCCTGTTCCTAAATCTACGTGAAAAATCACGAGCTGGCAACAAACAGAACACACACATAGCAGCTGACTTACATACACTTTTGTGCTACTTTGGGAGAGTGTAGGAAACTCTATACTGGGTTGCTTTATGAGTCAGAAATGACTCGCTTAACAACAACAACAGATTTGCCTCAAAGGGACAAATATTAACAGAATCCCTCCTGCATTCCTTTCCAGAAAAGGAGAAGCAGATGAGAGGTCCTGAACTGGACTGCCCAGAAAGGCAGATGGCAGGGCAGGGCAGGACAAGACTTGATTCAAATCCCGCTAAGAAGGAGAAAGAGGATTGAATTCCAACTACCCAGAATCTTCCCTGAAATCTGGGGCCGGAGCCTCACCTGTCTGCTTCCCGGAACATGTCCCTCTCCCTCTGGGAATGCATGTCCTGGATGATGGCAGCCACAGTTTTCCCTGGTTTCTAGACAAAATCAGAGAGATGCTCATGAGAAGGAGAGAGGGAGGGAGGGAGCAAGATAATCAAAACGTGGAAGGGCCTTGAAGACCACAGGACGTAGCCTCTACATTTTATGCATCTGGAAACTGAGACCCAGAGAGGTTGAGGCAGAATCTCTCAGCTTTGCACAACTCCTGAGGCACCAGCAACATCATGTGGTAAGTAGACAGTGACTCCTGAGTTGTGCTGGGTTAAGGGGCATGTTCAAGGTCACTGTTGCTGTTCTTAAGTGCTGTCAAGTTGATTCCATTTCACAGTGACCCGGTATAGGGTTGCCGGGACTGTAAATCTTTGCAAGAGCTGAAAGATTCCTCTTTGTCCTGAGGTATGGCTGGGTGGACCTGGATCACTGACCTTGTGGTTTGCAGCCCAATGTTTATCTTATACAGCCACTGTGCTTGTTCAAGGTCATGTGGTTGTTGTGTGCCACTGAGTCGGTTTCAACTTTTAGAGACCCTGCATAGTTTCTGAGGAGCAGCTGGTGGGGTTGAACCACCAGCCTTGTGGTTAGCAGTCCAGTGTTTATCCTACAGCGCCACATCAAAGTCATAGAGGTGGTTACAGAATCAGAACTCAGCAACATTTTTGGTCACTAGACATTTAACTCACTAGACACTTTAACTCCACGATCTTTTTCTTGTCCACCCCCTTCAACTTAGGTGTGTTCACTCATAGGGATCAACTGATGCACAAAGAGGATTTGTTTTGTAGGCAGTGTAGGCACCAGGAGGCACATTTCACACCTGAGAGAGCAAGGTGCCCAAAGGCTCTGCTCATGCCCAGCCCCTAAGTCCTAATCATTGTTGTTGCTGTTAAGTGTCGTCAAGTCAGTTCTGACTCATAGTAACCCTGTATAGGCTTTCCTAGGAACGGCTGGTGGGTTTGAACTACTGATTGTTTGGTTAGTAGTCCAGTACTTGTCTTACTGTGCCACACCAGGACTCCAAATCCCAACCAAAGTCTTTCCCTAAAACCAGATTAGACACACAATAACAAAACAATGAAAATAAACAAACACAAAAGACCAAAAAACAATGATTTTAAAAAAGAAAGAAATCCACAACACAAAAGAAAGGCTCAGGGCATTTCTCAAAGGCCACATATAATTCATCCATTTACTCATCGTGGAGTCCTGGTGCGGCAGCATAAGCACTGGATTGCTGACTACAAAGTCTGTGGTTCAAACCCACCAGCTTTCTTGGAAACCCTATACAGGGTTGCTATGAGTCAAAACTGACTCGACAACACTTAACAACAACGTCAGCAGGGTAAATTTTAAGGTATGTGAATTATATCTAAATAAAGTTGTAATAAAAAAAAAAAAAAGACAAAGACTTTGCATGGTATTATTAACTTGATAGTTTCATTCAGAAATTTAATCAACTGGTTTTTTTTCATTCCTGACTTTTTTTCTGGAGAGTTTACAGAGCATCATAAACTCTTAGAGCTATATAAACATTCGGCATCATCGCATATCTCTTTCATAGGTAGGAAGACAAGGTTCACAGACGTGAGCTTCCTAGGACTGAAATTCTCTGAGTACTCTAAATGACAAGGCTGTATTATTGTCAAGATTGAGGGTTGGGCTGGAAAAGGCGTGGAGCAACGAAGAGATGACACAGGAGCTACCTGTGGTTTCAGGATAAGAAGTCAGGTGTAGGGTGGAGGGAAGGAATATAAAATGCTCAAGACTGGGAGAGATCACTTGTCAAAGTTCTCAAGATACCAAAGACAGCCAAAGATAAGATGTTGTTATTGTTGTCAAGTGTTGTTGAGTAGGTTCTGACATAGCGACCCTGTATTGGGTTTTCAAGGAGCAGCTGGTGAGTTTTAACCGCTGACTTTGTGGTTCAAACCAGCCTTTCGGTTCAGTGCTTTACCCCACAGTGCCACATCAGGACTCCAAAAAAAGAAGATGGTGGCTGTGAAAAAGCAGGAAGTCAAGAAGCCAATAGAATCCAAGTTCATAACCATATGGGACATCTACCCTACTAGAGTCCTCCTGCTTTGGCAAATGGCCTCTTACATATGAACATAATTATAAAGGAGGATCCCCTCTAAGGGAACAAAAGTGACACCTGCAATTAACCAGATCACTTAGGCCTTGGAGTCAACTAGTACCTTCAGCAGAGACCTGAAAACAAGTAAGCAAAGACGCTGAGGCTGTTGGGCAGAGAAGAAAGTTGTAGCCCAAGATGCCTCCTTCCACCCCAAACCCACACCAGACTACCCATCCTTCAGTCAGGTTTGTCAATACTATGGGGAGAGCAAGAAGATTCATCCAAAGGTGATTGTACTTTATGTTGAATCCAGAGTTGGTCGTCTTCCTACTTGCTCACCTTGGACTATAAGATGGAAGTTCCCTACTGTCTCACCAAGGGTAAGGCCAGCCAGGGATGGCCAGTCTACAAAAGACCCCAGCAGCTCTGCCTTCACTTGGGCCAAAGCATGTACAAATGGAGCTCTGGAGAGCTGGTGGGCACCATCAGGACCAAGGGAAAAGACCATCATCAAGAAGGCCAAATGCTGGGTCCTAAATTTGTGGCTTTGAATGCTAAAATGGAAGAGGCAAGCACAAAAGAATGTGCCACCAGACTGGGCTGAATTTACAATGGCAACTTTTCAGAAGAGGGTAATATTCATTTCCCAAGGGGGTTGGATGGGAGACTATCTGTAGTTAAAAATAAAAAAAGTCCTCAAGATCTCAAACTGTTTTCTTCTGCTCTTCTGGAACCTGAAGCCTTCCGGATCATTCTTTTCAGCCCAAAACACAGGAAAGCACGGGATGAGAGGAGAGCGGCATTGTCAGAAAGGAGCGGAGGCTCTGCCAATTACTGAGGGCAACCTGGAAGGGAGGTGAGTTGGGGCTGAGATCAGCAGGGCTCGGAACATGTCAGAGGCATTCCAGGAGCTGAGGTCCCTTAGCACCATGTTCAACAGACAGCATTTCATTCTCTGTCCCATGCCCTCCCCCTCTGGTAAGCTGGTCATTCACACCACAGATACAAACATCTTCTAGTGGCCACTGGGGTGTCTTGAGCAGGGATCCATGCAGGCCTTCAGGTCCAAGAGGCTTATTTAGAGTGCCTTTCTGGGGAAGAGAAGAATCTCTTCTTGGCTTAAGCATTCCCAGCTCCTCATTTTCCCCAACACAGAGTATCTTCCTGGGGCCACATTTAGTCCTGAGCCCTCTGGAGTTGCTTCTATTCAGGTTACAGATCCCCAGGGAGCTAGGGCCCTGGGCTGTCCACCTTCACATGGCACCAGCACAGAACTTAGCATGGACTGGGGGCCCTAGCTGGGGCTGCTCTTCTGTTATGTGAGAATAAGACAGGTATGGCCAAGGTTTTCAGATAGCAGAATTGATTTCTCAGAGTCCCAAGGAAATCTCCTTAACCTGCCTGACTGCATCCAGTCTCTGCATCCTTTGGATAAAGGTGTTAAAGAAGCAGGTGAAGTACAGTTGTACTCACCCAAGAAAAATGAATATGAGAGAATGGAGGAAGTCTATGATGGCAATGTGGGGTAACTTTTTATTGTAGAATAGTTCAAACATCGACAAAAGTAGAGATATTGAACACCCACGAATCCACCTTCAAAATTCTAAGTTTGTTTCATCTAACTCCCCACCTTCTTTCCCTGCCCCCCTAAATCATGGTACCTTTTCATCCATTTATGGTAACATGGATGTGGCTCAACATTCCACAGGGGACCATTCACTTGGGTGAAATGCCAATCCCCTGCAGTGCTAGGGAAGGGGGCACCATCACTTATGAATCTCAACCTAGGAAGAGCAGCCCCAGCTCATGGGGGAGGGGGGGGGAAGGGGCCGCTGGCTGAGTCATCAGAGTTCAAGGTTCTTTGCCTGTGGCAAGCTCATATTCATCATCTATAAAGGTAGAATAATGAGGCCCATCTGGCATGTACCAATAACCTCAGGGCATGGCAGGCTACACTGATAAAAGCCAGGGAGCATTTGGCCAACATGAAAGGAGCTGCTAGAAAGTTCAATACCCTCTGAGGACCCCACAGCTACTTTGTAAACCTCAAGAGTCTTGGGTCAGTGCTGAAACCTTCCAAATGAGCCCCCAATTCATCAGAGATTGAGTTTGTCAAAGCAGCCCTGATTGTTTTCCACATTACTGTGTTTTCCAGCCTCCGCACTGCTTCTCCCCTGATCCCTTCTGTCTGAAAGCCCCTTCTCTGTTCAGGTAAGAGGCCCTGCTTGGTAATCTCTCCCTCCTTTACACTTCTAAGTCACCCCCCTCAACTTGTCACTCAACTTCTGTGGTGGCTTCTGAACTTATGCATTTGTGTTTAAATCTTGTGTCATTTTGCAAAAGAAGTGTTCCCAGTTGGACTGCAAACTTCCAAGTCCTTACTTGGAATATAAGAAAATGTCTTATATTTATTATAGCTTCTAGCACAATAATTTACCCAGAGAAGATCTTCAGCCTTCATTTGTTGATTTAATTTTTATCCAGTATATGGACCACTCACAACATCACTTCCTGTGTGGCTAGTGGGCTGCTGAATTCAGTGGTTCAATCCCAGCCCAAAACACTGAATGAGAATCTCAGAGCCCGGGAACACTAAAACTCCCCCTGTTGATTCCCTGATGCAATGACTGGAAGATACTAGTCCAAGTTTCCTTCTGTATCTAAGATGCTATGATGCTGTACTTATTGGAGAAGTCCTTTTAAATAACACAGAAAATAGTCCAAAATTCTTATCCAGGTCTGCAGGAAGGAAAACAGCTTAATACCTTGAGAAGACTGAGTGTGGTAGCCAGCACTCCTGTGGACAGAGTTCTTGCCATCAAACCAGTTCCAAGAGGATAGGAGGCAGAAGGGTTACCACTCCAGGGCATTTATCTATGCTCTCACCATCAATACAAGAGCATCACTTTCTAACTTCAGGCTCCTCGCTGAGCCACAGACTTGCAGGTGGGCCACTGGTTCACA